ATTTTGTCAGCATCTTCACCAAGTAGGACTATGTCATCGACATATTCCAAGTCAATAAGCGAGCCACCTGGTAGAAGGTCTACTCCTGAAAATTCAGACGAGGATAAGGTTATTTCTAGGAGCATGTCTATGATAAAATTAAACAAGAATGGAGAGAGTGGACATCCCTGACGGACACCACTTGAAGTGAGGAATTCCGGTGACAGTTCGCCATATGCTGTCACTCGACCAGTGGTGTTCGAGTAGAGAGCTTGTATGAGGTTGATATACTTCTTTGGTACACCTTTCAAAGACAGACACTGCATATTGCTAACTAGAGTCTTGATGAAGAAAATCGTGTGAAAAGTTACTCATCTAGTAGTGTTCTTTACCTCTTACACGTTGTTTTTTATAATTCAAGTGAATATCAACACAATTCTAACAATCTAGTGGATAGAGTGAATAATATTGATTGGAAACAGAAATATGTGAATCAATTGGAAAGATTTTATCGAAATGCACCAATTGAAATACATTGTAACAGTTCAAATGGTTTTCGTATAGAGGTAATAATAATAATAATAATAATAATAATAATAATAATAATATGTAATTATCAATGTACATGACCAAACCTGTGAATGATTTATGAACTGTTTTATAGAACATTATGAGAAGACGTGATTGATCTGAAAATAAGGTGATATATTTGCGCTATACATCTTTCAAAATATATGGTCACACACACACTGATCAAGGTATTTAAGATGATAATTAATCCCACTGCATGTATCCATTTACATGTATATATGTGTGAACACATATACAAAAGGAGTATAAGTGATCAGACATTGAAATCAAGGCTTATAAAACATGGACCTAATTGGATTCAAAATTAGTAAACGTCAGATGATCTGATGAACATGGAAAGCAGAAAACCATAATCATCGATTGCGAAACACATAATTGAAACGGAGCATAGGAATGACATCAAGACAGACTTCAAAACATTGTACAGGAATGTCGAAGGATGAATGTTGAGGTAAATGTAAGCCTTGGCTATTCGTCAGTGAAAAAACCCCACTTATGTGTACAGAAACAATTTGTTATAAATTTGAATTTTCACTCTGGTAATCTTTAAGCCATTTCCTTGGCCTAGTTGGTAATGTGACAATTTTCTACCCTTTCTTATTCTTTCTAAATTACACTAATTTTCTCACTCTCTCCTTTATGATTACAATTATTCCCCTTATTTTCGGTCAGAGTTTTGGAGGTTTGTGTTTTTACACATTTGAAATTATCAGTCAATCATTGTTAGATCACCATTAGAAACCTGGAAGCACTGAAGGACAGCCGTTTCGTCCTGGTATGGGACTCATCAGCAGTGCGCAAAATCTGCAGATCAATCAGAGTTAGACATTGACACCGTTGTATGCCGACCCAGAGGTCCGATGGTTAGGCGTTCGCGCACAATACCGGAGGTCCCGGGTTCGAATCCTGCGAGGTGCAGGAGTCGTGGATGCGCACTGCTGATGAGTCCCATACCAGAACGAAACGGCCGTCTTACAGTGCTTCCAGGTTTCTAATGTTGTGGTCTGACAATGATTGATTGATGATTTCAAATATCCCCATTATGTTTAGTTGAACTTTTGTTTGTAATTGACCTTTTATTAATAATTTTCATATAAAATGCCTTGTGACAAGTGTTCAAGTGTGACCAGATTGTTGGAAATATGTATAGATCATGTATGAACTACATTTAATGAGATGAAATATTGATGTAAATTTGAAAATCAACAAAATAGGTGACTTGTTTAGATGATTAGTTTACTACTTGAAGACAGACGATATTGGCGTGACCTGTTTGATTATGTTAAACTTATCCTCTGCAATGTACATTTCATTTGGCTTATCCAATTTAGTTAACCAGATGAATAGCACAATTTAGAGAATTGATTTTTCTGGTTAGCGATTTTTCAATACAAATGTCAAGAGAAGTTCTACTGCATAGAGCGGAAACTTGAAGAACTACCAAAGTCATCATTCAGAAGATACAAGTATTTATTAACAGTTGTTCACTTAGGCTGCTTCGAATTCGTTCTCCACACACCATCAGCAACAACCTACTGTGGGAGAAAACAAATCAGATTTCATTGGAGGGAGAAATCAGGAAGAAGCTATGGAAGTGGGTAGGGCATACATTGAAGAAAACATCCAATTGAGCCACAAGAAATTCGCTCACTTGGAATTCGCATATCGAAGGGAAAAGAGGAAGCCCAAAGAGAACATTACGCTGAGAAACGGAGACAGACATGAGAAGAATGAACTAAAGTTGGACAGAATTGGAAATGGAAACCCATGACAGAGTAGGTTGGAGAATGCTGGTCGGAGACCTATGCTCTATTGTGGGTAACGGTCGTAAGAAAGTATGTACGTAAGTAAGTGCAAGTTAGAGAAGTACGGAATGAAATCACTGCTCAATGGACCAGTCCATGAAGTGCAACCGATTAATTCACCTTAATCATCTTTTATTTCGGAGATATTTGATAAACTATTCAATGATCTCTCGTCTAACAAACACACTGTCCAGTCTGATGAATGATTTTGTTAGAGCTCATTGATATTTCACTGAATCTAAAAGCTTACTTTGCAACAGTCGCTGAACGATTGATATACTTGATTGTAACCAATAGGTTGTAAGTTCAAACTCATTTGTACATTCGCTAGTTTGGAGCATAAAACATTTAGTTCATAGTGAAGTACAAAAGTTCCTGAGTTTGTTAACCAAAACAGATGAAAATGTTACGTAATAGAGTATTAGGGATAACTGAAATTCTTTTCATCTAATCAATCATAGAATAGTTATTCATGGAAAGAAACGAATCACTTTTTAATTTATTAATTTATCGCCATAAAGAATAACAACCTCCATCAAAGTTATCTCAAGTTGTTTTAGTTATATCAAAGTTAAGTTTTACTTACTTACTTACTTACTTTCGCCTGTTACCCCCAACAGATCATAGGCTTCCGACCATTGTTTTCCAGCGAACTCTGTCCTGGGCTTCCCTGTCCAGTTCTTTCCAATTTTTGTTCATTCTTCTACTGTCTGTCTCCATTTCTCGGCGTAATGTGTTCCTTGGCCTTTCCTCTTTCCCTTTTGCCTTGAGGGTTCCATGTGAGGGCTTGTCTTGTGACGCATTTAGGTGCTTTTCGTAGTGTGTATCCTGTCCGCTTCCAGTGTTTCTTCTTGATTTCCTCCTCCATTGGAATCTGGTTTCTTCTCTCCAACAGTAGATTGTTGATGATAGTGTCTACCCAGCTGATTCTATTTATTTTGGGTAGACAACTGTTAATAATTATTTGTATCTTACGGATGAGGGCTTTCGTAATTCTCCAAGTTTCCGCTCCATACAGTAGAGCTGTCTGGACGTTCGCACTGAAAATCCTGATTTCGGTGTTCATTGATCGAGATCAAGGATATAAGTTCTGGGCAATTTCAAACTCGTCAGCTGGATATAACTACATTTCAATGTTGATATTCATATCAAGACTCTAGCTACATAGCTATCATTTCGAACACCCAATGAGTTATTCATTTAAGCTACTGAGTTCAAACAGACACAAACTAATTTAATGGGTATGAAATTAAAAGAATTCATGGCAATTGTTTGATTTATCGCGTTACTTATATTCAAGATTGGATATTGATCAGTTTTTGATGACTTCCGTACATTTGAATCGAATTGTTTTGATGTAATCATCTTGTGATGTACATATCTCTAGAATAGATGGTTAGCGTGAAGAGCGTTGAAATGTAGGGTGAGAGTTTTTATCAAATGTGTCGATAAAAAACTTGTTAAAAAAGGTTACTCCAATAGCGATAACTTTCACAGGATGTACACATACACTCTGATAAGGAAGGAACTGATCTTAATTTAGACAAAAAAATATCAACAACAAAATTATTGAATTTCCTTTTAATGAGGATAAACAAACAAAAGTCATTTTCATGTTCATTCCACACTGATACACCAAAAATGGGTCCTAAAAATCAAAGTATTATAATCTGGAATGATCACTTGAAATCTACAACACCAAAATCAGGAAATTCAATACAAATATCAACACAGTTCTATTGTATGGGGTAGAATCATGGAGAAATACCAAAGTCATCATCGGCCAGAAGATTCAAGTAGTCATTAACAGTTGTATACGCAAAATACTTCGCATTCGTTGGTCAGACACCATCAGCAACAGCCTACTTTGGGAGAGAACAAACCAGATTCCTCTGATGAAGGAAGAAATGAGGAAGAAGCGGTGGAAGTGGATAGGACACACATTGTGGGAAGCACCCAACTGTGTCACAAGACAAGACCTCACTTTGTCTTCTCGAATTCAAAGGAACAGAGGTAGACCAAAGAACATATTACACCGAAAAATGGAGACACACATGAGGAAAATGAACAACAGTTGGGTAGAATTAGAAAGGAAGGTGGAGGACACAGTAGGTTGGAAAATGCTGGTCGGTTGCCTATACTCCACTAGGGGCATAGGCGAAACTAACTAATCAAGTAAGTATTCATCACTTAAATCATTGTCAATGATAAATTTTCTCTATGATCTCCATTTATAAGTAGTATATTTTTTGATTGTTTAAAATATTTTCAGAATTCAAAAATCTATCATTTTCCTGAACTAATACCATCAGATGAACTGGATGATTCATATAATGCAAAGTGTTCAAATAACAATGATGTTGATGATGATGATGACGATGAAAATGTGAACTGGTCTAATTTCGATGTATGATTACTGCATACATTCTGTACATAGAAACTTCTTTCATTAGAGAATGAAATTGAATAACTATTCTTAAATAAATGAAAACTAAGCAACTATGATTGATTGATTTGAAATAAGTGATCTTGTTTTTACTTGAAATGTATTTCTTATAATAATAAGTAAATCAAACCGAATTACTACAATGAACGATTCACAATTCCAATGACATTCAATTATCTCTATAACTCTATAGTCAAAAAATCATAAAATATGCTGACTAGTTACTAGATTGGTCAAGAAACTCTCAAAGTTCCAGGGAGAAGCAGCGATCAGTGGAGTTCAGCCCTGCCAGGTGTAGGCAGTTACTTATCGAAGACAAATGGGTGAGGTCGCGTGAAATCCCTTGATCAATCAGAGTTAGAAAGTAACACCGTTGGATACCGGCCCAGTGGTCCAATGGTTAGGCGTTCGCGCACAATACCGAGGGTCCTGGGTTCGAATCCTGCGAGGTGCAGATGTCGTGGATGTGTACTGATGATGAGTCCAATACCAGAACAAGACGGCCGTCTTTCAGTGCTTCCAGGTTTCTAATGGTGGTCTAACAATGATTGATTGATGATTTCAAATGCTAGATTAGTCAGGAAATTCTCGGAGCCGGTACCAGCGGAGTTCAATTCTGTCAGGTGTAGGCAGTTACTAATCGAGGAAAATGAATGAGGTTGAGCAATGTCTTGAATTAATTAGAGTTAAACATTAAGACTGTTAGATGTCGGCTTAGTGGTCTAGAGGTTAAGTATTGGTCAGTGAAGCTGAGGGTCCTGGGTTAAATTCCCGCAGGTGGGGATCATGGATGCTCACAGCTGATTAGCCACATACTAAGACGAAACGGGTGTCTTCCAGTGCTTCCACGTTTCCAATAGTGGTAGGACAACGATCAATTCACAATTTGAATTACTGAGAATTTTGGTTTTAGGAATGTACAATATGAATGAATATTTGGACACCATTCTATAAACTTGACAAAAAGTAAATAGCTTAGACGATCGATCCTTCACAACTAAGTATGTGCATAAATGACTGTTGAAGTAGGATAGAATTGACTGATGATGTTATTACACTTTCGGTTAGTGCAACATTCACACCAAATAAATCAGGTGCTACTGGGGAAAAGAGTACGTGAAAAAAACTTTCCAAGTAGACAGGCTAAGAAAAGTAGGACTTCGTATGTATGTACATCAGTTCATATCGCCATACCAAATTAGCACAGAGAGATGAAATTTTCAATGCGATTCCAATAGTCGTAGAGGTAGTAGAAGTATTAGAAGGAATCGAAGAGATTATGGTCCGAAGATATTATTCAAGAAGTAGAATCTGGTGAAATAGGCTTAAAAAGATAAAGTGATGAGGAATTAAAACGTTTAGGGTTTGAGAGAACACAAAGAATGAATGCACCTTCACCATTGCAAAGGGTTTTGAGCCATGTCGTTCAGGGTCTCTAACCATCGATTATTATCATCTCGCGGAACACAACCAGGTAGTCGACACCCACCGACATGACTCAGTCCACTTGTCACTGACTTCATGGATTTCTGCCATGTTTTGGTCTGGCCGCCCCTAGCTTTCTTCCAATCTATTCCTACACCGCAAAATATAGCTTGACGAGGCAGTCGGTGGTTCGGCATACGTAACACATGTCCCAACCACCTCAACTGATGAAGTTTCATTACTTCATCTATTGATTTGTCATCCTTACCTAGCACCCGATTCCTAATAACAGCGTTGCTCAATCGGTTGTCACAGGATATACGAGCAATGCTTTGGAGACACCTATGATCAACAACCAGTAACCTACGAATATCTTCAACTCTGACTGGCCATGTTTCACAGCCGTAAAGTAGCTTCAACTGGTCTGAAGAAAAAAATTAAAGCTACTTCATTAGTTTTCTCTGTGTTATAGTAACGTGATAGTGTATACCAATATCAAACTTTTCTACGGATACAGATAAATCTATCGATAATCTGATAAGCATCAAAGTGGGAACATCGAAAGAGGGAAGTTTAAATGGTGCATTTAGCTTCAGAAAAGCCTAGTCAGATTTCGTATTTATTAATAACACGGAGTAACAAACGGTTTATTCGAAAATTGTTTATTGTCTACACATTACATAACTTTCGATTGAGATCAGTTTTCGAATGAATTGAAGATGAAAGGTATGAAGAGAATGAAAATAAGACAGCAAATAACTTGAATGCGTAGTGAATTGGAGCAAATATGTTTCTCGCGACGATTCATGATTGAATTTCTCTGTGGGCTGAGACACTATCCAAACTTCTAGGTATCAGGTGATTTTCTCAAGCAACAAATTCCGAATCGAATCAATAATGCAGAAGAGTGGGATCCGGAAGTGAGATCCAACTCCAGGGGTTAAGAATGTTCGTGCAGTATTCTACTACTCAGAATTCAGGAACATTTATTCACTACTTGGATGATACTAGCGTTTTCCAATTATCTGAGAGGACACTCCATATTCACCATATCGGTTTCGGTACTGAACATCGGCCTTTCTTAAAACCAATCCATAACGTAAAGACAGTGAAACGTTTCGTGGCAATGAATATGAAATTGTTACAGTATGAGAGCGAATCAAGACAGCAGAGGAACTCTTCCCACTCTTGGCTACATTACACACTACATTTGGGGGCACAAAGGAACAACAAAATGACCCACATACACTAGTTCAGAAAAAATATGTGTAAAGTAGTAAAAACAGATTAGTATATAGACAGTCCTGTTTGATCAAATATGATAAATGTGTAAACAGCTTGTGTTTATTGTTTGAAGAGGTACAAATCCCAAGGCTTTAATATGACATGCTGCACCAAATATACTGTACTAGCAAGGTGATATCATTTAAACTGTTTTATGGTGAATATATAGCGTTTCGCAAACCAAAATACATTCAACTTTTCATTCATTCTGCACAAGCTATAAGTTTGATGGTTACTGCCAAACAACCGTGCGACTGTTGAATCCATTTGGATCAGAATAAGGTTTCATGATTACGGAATTCCCACAGGCCTTATATCAGTATCTCATTTTAATTACACCCCTAGTGGAAGCAGTGAACGATAGCTTCGTCCTATTATGGAACTCGTCAGCGGCGAGAATCCAAGGATTAAATCTAAAACGTTCGGTCATGCGTGTGAACGCTTAGCCCTTAAAATCACTGGGCTGGCATTCAGTGGTATTTAAGTGATAGAGCACAAAATGCGATCAATATTGTATTGTATGATCATTTCATTGAAACTTATATATCTTTCTCTATAAACTTCCATTAGTTCAATTTTAGCAAAATCCTTATATCTCCTAGAAATGTTATTTCAGATAATGTACACTCTGTTGTGGATGTACATCCAGCGAACACAGCTTGCAATGGCCAAGAACTATTCCTACATCAATCGACGTTGTCTACTGTTCGCTCACAATTTTGGTTGTTTACGTTTGAGTGTGTGTCAATGTATTGCTTACTTCACCTGTCACTTGTCTAGCTTATTTTTGCCTGACTTAAAATACGCAGTCCTGGCCTTATCGCAGTGAAATGGCTAACTCGTCTTCTCTACTTCGCTTCCTATTTTCATGTCCACCTGCGCAAAGATTGCATGAAATCAACTCATTCTCACACCGTATTCGGCTTCTTACTACCGCTCTCGCAAAAACAGAGTTCGCCTAAGTATGATATACGGAAATTGAAAGGAAGACTTATTTCCTTACTGTTAGCATATTCGTCAAATATCCTAAGAGAACTATTTTTGGGAAGTCTAATTCTATCGGTGGATTGCTATTGGTCAACATTATGGTCGTCCTAACTAGCAATGTCACACACTTCACTATTGTCTCCAATTGGTCGTACTAACTGTCAATGTCATTTAAAATGATGTTTCCCATTGGACGTACTAACTATCAATGTCACAGACTTCCATGTTGTTTCTTATTCGTTGTCTCCGAAGCATTGTTCGTGTATCTTGGGACAAACGTATAAGCAATGCTGTCGTTAGAAAACGAGTTATAGGTGGGGATGGCAAATCAATAGATGAAGTAGTGAAACTTCAGTTGAGGTGGTTGGGACATGTGTTACGTATGCTCAACCGCCGACTGCCTCGTCAAGGTATGTTTTGTGGTGTAGGAGTAGGTTGGAAGAAAGTTAGGGGTGGCCAAACCAAAACATGGAAGAAATCCATGAAGTGACTGACAAGTGAACTGAGTCATGTTGGTAGATGTAGACGACCTGGTCGGTGTCCGCGAAACGAAAGTCACCAATGGTTAGAGACCTTAAACGTCATGGCTCAAAATCGTTTGCAATCGCGCAAGTGCATCCACTCGTCGTGTTCTCTCTAATTCTAACCGTCTGAATTCCTCATAATCTTTCTCTCCCTAAATTTGTCTCACTGAATTATACTTCTCGAATCATATCTTTGCTCACTAATCTTCTCGATTGCTGCTAATAATTCTACTATCACTATCACTCTTGGATTTGAACTGACAGTTGCGTCTCTTTGCTGACGTGGTATGGCAAGCTGAACTGATGTACTTATGTACGAAGTTCTGTGTTGTATCTGTCTGTCTATCTTATTCGACCTAAATGTATAAATACGCATTATCTGTAACGTTTTATGACCAGGACCCGGATCTTCAGTGCAGGATCCTTGTCTTCTTCGGGACTAGGACCTCGTACTTTCTGGATGCTTGTAGAACACAAGGTTCAACTTCATATCAAGTCATCTTCTTTCACTCAATAGGTTGATGGGAAAATCGGATTACAGTAGCATGTTGTGTCACTGGAACCTCGCTCTTGTTTTCCGACTACGGTAAACTCATACTTGTTCAAGCATATCAAAATGACGCGTTTACGTGCATGCGTAACACTAACATACTCGATTATTCTTATTCTTATCATGATTAACATATTTTGAATACGAATTTAAAAAGAGAATAAAAACCAAACTTGACTCAATCATGAGTAAAGAAAAATGACATGTAATGTAATTATTAAAGGGTTACACACATTATGTGTAGAACTAAACGAATACAATTATAGTTAAACTCGGTGCAAAATAAAAAAAAAAACTTAAAAATCTTTTCTCATTGAAGCATAACGGTTAGAATGTTGACAAACGATTGTTTGAAACTGGGGCTAGTTAATGAATGATATGAACGGTTTTGTAATGGTAATCTGATTCAGATGCATGATGCAACAACGCATTCAACTCTCTAGTATGTCCAGCAAAACATGATGAACACACTTATACTCAGTGTGAAATAAACAGAAAATTAAATTCAACCTCATTGAAATGTGGATAATATTTGAGAGACAAAGTGGGTAGGAAAAAGAGGCAGACCGAATACTACTACTACTGCCATGTTAATTGAGTAGTGTAGAATAAATTAAAACATAACAAGATTCATATTGAAGAAAACAAATTGACAGTTTGCAAAAACTAACCAAATAAAAGAATACAATACATACACACACACTACTAATTGATAACATCTCACTTATATAAGATATATATATATACACATTTCCATGTCATGTTGATCAATGATTAAGTGTACTAGTACTAATATAAAGTTCTACTAGGGGATGATAGATAAGTAAACATCACAGATAAGATATGAATGAATCACAAACACAGACACACACACACACACTGCCATATGTATGTGTGCATATAGTTTTTTTTTGCTCATGTTGGATGCAATAAATCATAAACTGTTTGTTTGACCAATGGTGGTCATATTGGTTGAATGAGATGGATTGATATTATTGTTATTTGATATCATTTCACTACTTAATTGATTATGAGTAGTATCAGAAGAATTAGCCAATAAATGACTCGATGTACCAATAGTATTGATCATTGATGATGAATCATCATGAGAAGTGTTTGTAAGGTGAGCGTCATTGATATGAATATGATTATGTGAAGTGACTATTACTGGTGTTACAGGTAAAAATATCTCAATTTCTTGATTATCATTACTATTATTATTATTATTATTAGTAGTAGTAGTAGAAGTAGAAGTAGTATGTCCTGTTGTATTTATAGGTGAATTTGATATGTTTACAAAATTTGATTCATTAATATCTTCTTCTGTTTGAGCTAAAGGATAAGGACATTCTAAATGGACTAAATGAAATACCTATAATTTAGAAAGGTACAAAAAAAAAGAGAATAAGACAAACTTTTCAATGATTAGTTGGATTAAAGTTTCATATAAGTTTGTTCCTCCAGGTAAGGAGAGTCCTATCACTCTTTCTAAACACTCTAATATTGTGGTGTGTGCTACTTATACGAACGATATAAGTAGTATAAGAAGGGACGTGAAAGAAGAAGTCTCACGGTCAGAAGAGGAAAACGGAAAGCAAATGGAGCAAAAGCAAGAAGTAAATGGAGTATCAACAGGAAGTAAAGGAAGCAACAGCAGGAATAGAAGAAGGCTGGAGCGTTGGAAGTCATGACTCAAAGATGGTGTGCAAATAGAGTGTTCAATGTAATGTTGTCGTTTTTAATTGACTAAGAGTGTAAATTTGTCTACAACAATCTTCCGCGCCTGCCTCAGTCTCTATAAATGAAGTCCTAATCACTGCCTTCTGGTGACATGTGCTTTTTTTTTCTAAAGCAGGAAGATGAAAAGTGAATCTCCGACCACGGCTTTAAATGGGTAGTTAGAAAAATTATGATTCCATACTAATGATGGTGCATATCGATTGTAGGATCCTGAGGGAACAAATAATGTACAAACCAATTATTTATTGGTCATCAGATTACCTGACATTGCTCCAATGCTGCATGGATTAGACATCTGTAGGTGTCAGTTAGGTGTCGGTTAGCGGTCTCCTAAGAAAACTACTTGTTTCGATTTAGACACTCAGGTAGTAAGTATCTCAACACACACACAGAATTCATGATTTTTACGGCGCATAAATATTTATATTTTTCTAATTCTTGCTTTAAATTTCAAGAGCTAATGATGAAAACCCAGTCCATATGGGATAACTTTAAGTCATAAAATTATCCCAACTCATAATGGGTGTGTGTAAAATGTGAACCTTGGAATTGTATGGTAGATTAGTTCTGTGCTCACTAAAACATGAAAAAGTTTCGGATTCCAAACTAGGGGACAAGATGTGAGCAGGTAAATAATGTCCACAGTTGAAATGAAGTCGTTGTTGTTCATAACTTACTGGTTTTCGGTGGATCATACCAGCTAGCTGACAGTAGTTTGTGGTGAAAACTAAATCCGAGTAGATAAAAATCTCTGTCACACTTTCTAAGGGGTTTTTAGTTTTGCTCAAATGACATATTAGGTATATTTAATCTGTCCACTTATGGCATAGACGAGATATTCGTTTGCTAATCAAAGGACGAGTGTACAGAGAAACAGTTTGCTCCATCCTACTATATGGATGCGAACTATGACCTGTAGGATTGAGGATACAACATGTACTTCTACGGGATTTGAATTGACAACTCGATTTCTGAGTGTTAATGTGGTATGGCGTATGTACGAGGTTCTACGTTGTAACTAACTGACTGTCTGACTGACTGACTGCCCAGTACATATAAGACAATGTGTTTGTAAATCTAGCGATGCTTTTATGTAGGTTTCCAATTCATAAAACAAACATCATGCTAAAAGATGATCTCTTATTATTATCTTCAAAATTAGGGCAACGGAGATTTCGTTTTGTTCACTCACAGACACACGATACAACGTAAAACAATGAAGTAGCTTAACAGTTTAACTTCTGAACAATTCCAAAGGTACTTTGAAAAGTAGAAACTGAGATGGAATAATTTTATTTGTACAATCATTGAAATTGGTGAACTTTCATAAGCTTATAAAACAGTCCCGACCGAAGTTGCTACCTTGACGTGGTGGTCGGGCTTGCCTATCGTCATGACCAAACCGAGCTATATTGGCTGGAATTTATGTTCCTGAAGGTCCTACCATGCCAGACAGGTCGATTGGAGAACGATGAGACTAAAAGCAGCTACCCAAGGTCTGAGGGCGAAGTCGTACTGCTGACTGCAGAGGGGTGTAACAGCAGTAAGGTGTTTCCCTCGGACAACCAGCATCTGCAGCGATGCTGACTTCTCACAAGGAAGGAAGGGTTAGAAAAGATCCGCCCTAAAAATGTCACACCTCCCCTAACTCACGGATTTCCGTCTCCCTGGGTAAGGGTGCCCACTAAGGGCCTTTAAGAGCGGAACTAATCCCAAAAAAACCTTTCATAAAAAGGCCGTGCGTGACCGGCCTCAAGCAGTTGTCCCTTGGGTTCTGCGATCACGCTCCCAGGTCTCCAAGACCAACAATAATCTATCTTCCTTTTCAGGTCCCTCAAGAAACAAACTCATGGATTACCTCTATATGAAATTAAGGTGCTTTATGTCCGAAAAGTAGAACGTTTACTATAAAGTATGAAAAGTTGTAAATGAGGAGAAAATAGAGAGAGCAAGGAAAAACTTACATCATTAGCTGAATTGTATGACCCGACAACTCGAATAAATGTAACTGGTTGCAATGGGAATCTAATTATCTGCCAAGAACGACATGGTTCCATAGAAGCATCACGTATCAGTTTCCAATCAACACGATCATTGGATACATACACAGAATAAGAATATGTACGTGAATCTAAATCCCATAGTAAAAATCTATACAGAAGAAAAAAATTAAACATACACAATAAAGTAGATTTACATGTAAATGTTATCATTAAAGTATATTTTATTTTCGCTGTCTAGTGTAACTCTAGCTATACTTCTTGACCTAGAGTGAGAAGTTAGATCCATTGATGAATCTCAGGTTGTTGGAGAATGGCACCACCTGCCATTCGAACGCGCAACCCTGGAGTAGATTGCAAGGGGAATACGTTCAACGGAGTCAATATTTTACAAAAGCCTATGAATTAATTGACGATTGGTCTTAGTCATGTATGGTAGTTGGTGTTCATAATTATCGGTTAATCATTCAATCAGTTATGTGAAACATTAGAACCTGGCATAGTTGAATGTTGGTTCAAGTTCTAAGAAAGGACAAAAGTCTTCTTGTGACAATCACAGGGGAATCAGTCTAACTAATATAGTAACTAAAATATTGGCCTCAATAATACTTCGGCGCTTAACGAAAGCTCGTGAAGAGCAGACTAGAGAAAACCAGGCTGGTTTTCGACCTGGACGTGGCTGTGTAGACCACATATTCACAAAACGACAGGTCCTGGAACACAGACACACATTTAGACGTCCGACAATAGTTGTTTTCCTTAAAGGCGGCATTTGACTCGGCAGATCGTGAGGTTCTGTGGCAGTGTATGTCATTGAAAGGTGTACCAAAGAAGTACATTAACCTCATTCAAGCTCTCTATTCGAACACCACTGGTCGAGTGAGAGCTTATGGCGAACTGTCACCGGAATTATTCATTTCAAGTGGTGTCCGTAAGGGATGTCCACTTTCTCCATTCTTGTTTAATTTTATCATAGATATGCTCCTAGAAATAACCTTATCCTCGTCTGAATTTTCAGGAGTAGACCTTCTGACCACCCTAAGCAACAATGCAAGCATGTTCGAGATGCGGTTTTCACCTTCGAAATGCAAAATGTTGCTTCAAGACTGGGTTGCATCTGCACCTGAACCAGGGATAGGGAGTGAAGTAGTCGAGCTTGTAGACCGCTTCACTTATCTTGGGAGTCTCATCAGTGCTGATGGCCTGGTGACTGACGAAATCTCAGCTCGGATACAGAAGGCTCGATTGGCTTATGCCAACCTGCGTCACTTATGGCGAAGGCGGGATATCCGTTTACTGACTAAAGGACGAGTGTACTGTGCAGTAGTTCGCTCCGTCTTACTTTACGGCTGTGAAACATGGCCAGTGAGAGTAGAAGATATTCTTATGTTACTGGTTTTTGATCATAGGTGTCTTCGAAGCATTGCTCGTATATCGTGGGACACCCGAGTGAGCAACGCTGTTATTAGGACACGGGTGGTAGGTAGGAATGGCAGATTAATAGACGCAGTAGTGACACTTCATCAGTTGAGGTGGTTGGGACATGTGTTGCGTATACCTAACCACCGACTGCCTCAAAGAGCTTTATTTTGTAGTGTAGAAATGAGTTGGAAGAAAGCTAGGGGCGGCCAAACCAAAACATGGCAGAAATCCATGAAGTCATTGACAAGTGGACTTAGCCATGTTGGTAGTTGTCGAATACCTGGTTGGGGTCCGCGAGATGATAATAATCGATGGTGAGAGACCTTGAACGACATGGCTCAAAATCGTTCGCAATGGCGCCGGTGCATTTAATCTTTGAGTTCTCTCAAATCCTAATCTTCTGGATTATTCAACACCTCTAGTTTTGACTTTCTAAACTTTTCTCACTGAATCATACTTCTTGGATAATAATATCTTCTAATCCTAACCTCTCCGATTACTTCCAGTACCTTTACTACCCCTTCTACTATTGGATTTGAATTGACGATTACATCTCTGTGCTGATGTGGTATGGCGACATGAACTGATGTACTTACGTACAAAGTTCTACGTTGCAACTGACTGACTGACAAGTTCTAACGCACTATTTATCAACAAAGCAAGATGAAAAAAAAACATTAGGCCGAATCTCACATAAGTAAAGGTAGTAACAGTATTAACGGTAACGAAAACGATTAAGCAATGAGGATATACAACTCAAGAATAAAATAACAAGTAATTTATGATGTAAACTATAAACTCAAAATCAAAGGGGAACGCACTTAGAACAGTTTTTCAGCCATGTCTCTAACCAAGTGGACCCCTTCCAGATCGGTTGTATCTACTAATATGGCTCATACTTCACAACAAAACAGGGACTCCATGAACTGATGTCATATCTTTCCAATTATGTTGAAGTTTCATATCAGAATAATCACTACAAATTGTCTGTCACCTACATCGTTTCTCAATAACAAACAATAAGGTGACTGATAAAATTTCTAATTTCCTCATATTTCAACTACATAACTGACAGACAGACAGATACAACACAGAACTTCGTACATAAGTACATCAGTTCAGGTTGTCATATTACGTCAGCACAGAGACGAAACTGTCAGTTCAAATCCAAGAGTGATAGTCATAGTAGAATTATTAGCAGCAATTGAGAAGATTAGGGAGCGAAGATATGATTCGAGAGAACACAAACAGTGGATGCACCTGAGCCACTGCTAACGATTCTGAGCCATGTCGTTCAAGGTCTCTAACCATTGGTGACTTTCGTCTCGCGAAACCCAACCAGGTAGCCTACATCTACCAACATGACTCAGTTCACTTGTCACTGACATCATGGATTTCTGCCATGTTTTAGTTTGGCCGCCCCTAGCTTTCTTCCAATCTACTCCTACATTGCAAAACATAGCTCGTCGCGGCAGTCGGTGGTTAGGCATTCGTAACACATATCCCAACCACCTCAACTGATGAAGTTTCACTACTTCATCTATTGATTTGCCATCCTTACCTAAAACTCGTTTCCTGGCGATAGCATTGCTTATACGGTTGTCCCAAGATACACGAGCAATGCTTCGAAGACATCGATGATCGAAGACTAGTAACCTACGGAAGTCCTATACTCCTAACAGCCAAGTCTCGCTAAGAGTAGAGGACTTCCGTACATAACTGTACAACAATACTAACGTTCAAATGTCAATTTCTCTTTCTCAAATAATCCCATATGAATAGAAACGAGTTATTAGCATTTTGACATTATATGTAAATTAGTTAGTTCTTCACTTCGCATTTAATGAGTGACATACGCAATCAATCAATCGATCGATATTCAGATTGATCAATACTACACATAAGTATTGTTGAGTGCTCAGATAATAATAGAGGAAGTTTTAATAAACAATAAATACCTCATTGAACGTAATAGAAATGGTTGAGCTAATTGAACCACTATAGCACCATTGCCTAATTGATGACATGTATAACCGGAATTCCAATCGTACATTCGAATATTACCATCGATTAGGGCATTCCGATTTCGACTGACACCTTCTAGCACAGTAGCACCATGATCAACATTTGCAACATTATATGTTGGAATCTAGAACAGAGAAAGAGAGAGAGAGAGGAGAAGGAGGAGTAGGGATTATTATCCAATTGGATTTAACTCTATTCTAGGAATGGTATTCAATTATCCACTGAGCTACTAAGTCCAGAGATACTTACTTACAACACCTGTTACCCCATAGCACGGCTTGGTGTAATAAAACTGTTTTTTGACGTTTGTATTGAAAGTTCTGGCTTCCATGTTGGTTGGCCGAGAATTGTATTGAGATATACATGTTCTTCAATTGTAGAAATGTTGCTCCTGCTTTGTCGATCTTTGTCTTTACGTCTGCATCAGATGCACCTTGTTTATCAATGATAATGCCATTGTGTATAAAAGTTTTCACCTCTTTCAGAGATTCTCTGTCAAGTGTGATTTGGTTGGTGCATGTTGTGTTGTATTGGAGGATCTTGCTTTTCCGTTTGTGTATGTTGAGAACTACTGCTAATACACTGGTCATCTTCTCTTTCAGTTGTTGTTTCGTGTGCGATAGAAAAGCCAGATCATCTGAGAAGTCCAAATCATCCAGCTCTATTCTAGCTGTCTATTGTGCCCCATGCTATCCCTCACATGTTGACGTCTTCATAAACCAATCAGCCACAACGAGAAAGCGTGAGGGTAAGCAACCTTACGTGACACCGATTTTTACTTCGAACGAGTCTGTGAGCTTTCCTTGATTCATGATTCTGCAGTTTAGTCCATTATAAGAATTCCGTACCGTACAGACATACCACAGTGTCGAGCAAGCCTCCATAAAGTTGTCCTGCCCATGCTATCAAATGCTTTCCCGTACTTAGTGAAGCTGATATACAGTGAGGTCGGTTTACGATCAATCCTTACGGAATCCAACCTGTTGATCTCGAAGTTAATTGTCAACAGAATCTCTCATTCGGCCTCTATAGTTCTCACACTTGCTGAGATCTCCTTTCTTGATATTTTGATCGCGTGTCCTTCTTTCCAGTCTGTTGGTACTTGTTCTTCCTCCGAAATCTTGTTGAACAGAGAGTGGAACATCTTTTCAGTTATTGCCTCAACTGTTATGTTGTCTGATTCTTCTGCTTTACTGCTCTTAGTTTATCTGACAAACATCCTGATTTATTTGGTTGTTTGTAGAGTCAACAATAATTAGGATGCTTGTAAGTGCTGCTTTAATGTTGAGTGGGTGGAGTGGGGTGGACCTATTCAAGAGTTCTTTAAAGTGCTCTACCCACCCATTTCACTATCTTTGGGACTAGATGACTGGTTTGAATTCCTTGCTTGCATCTGGTGGTTCTGACTTATAATATATTGTTTGTTGTCTTGTATAGGTTTTAGTTATCAAAAAGAGATAACCTCTGCATGCATATGTCATTGTCTATCGAGTAATTAATGGTGAATAAGTAAATCGAATTCAACTATTACATAACGACGATACATGATGATTGTTCCTACACACATTGAAATCACGAATCAACCAATGTTAGACCATCATGTGTAACTTATCAGTAGTGAGAATTCAATAACTCCTGCTACCTGCAGGACTCGAACCCAGGATAGTCGAACTTGCTCGCGAACGCCAAACCTCTGGATCTCCAAGTCGACATCCAACGGTGTTAACGTCTAACTTTAATCAATCCCTGATATTGTGCAACCTGCTGATGAGTCACATACTAGAATGAAACAGCCGTTCAGTGGGCTTCGCGGTTTCTAATACTAGCCTAACACTGATTCATTCATGATTTTCATGTAGGGTAAAAATAGTGCAAAGAGTTTTTAATTTAAAAAAATCAGAAAAAAAAAAACAACAAAGGCAAAACTACTTACCATAAATCCACTTATTTGTAGAAATATTTTCTCACTATAAAAACATCTGAATGTGATTAAGTGAAATGTTCGATTAAATGTATTTTTTGTCCCTGTAATACGAATATAATGTATAACACGTGATGGGAAATAGATTGTTTGCCATGAACGACACATATAATTTTGATAATCGACAATACGATGCCAAATCGATTGATCCAATGATACATCAATGAAATAGGAATAAGAACTAAAAATGAAGGTGAAACAAAAAAATAGGGGGAAAAATTCAATGTTTGTGACTATTTATTTATTTACATGGAAGGATTTTCCATCCTAGTATACTACCTGTATACATACACCCACAACCTCGCAGATGGAAACTGAACCTAAGACATTCACAGTCTTGAGTGTAAGCACTTAACCTCTAGACTGCTGAGTTAGCATGAAATGTTGGGTAATGTCTAAACTTAAATCAATCCATGATATTGCTTGTAGACATCCACTTAGAGTTAACATTAAGCTCGTCAGATTTTTCAGGGGTTGACCTTCTACCAGGAAAATCGCTTACTGATCTAGAATATCCCGATGACATAGTTCTATTCAGTGAAGACGCTGACAAAATGCAGAGTACTCTGACTACCATAAGCAACAATGCGAGCATGTTCGGGATGCGGTTCTCATTCTCGTATTTCGTGGAACAACCGAGTAACCAATGCTATCGTTAGGAAAAGAGTACTAGGTAACCATGACATATCAATAGATGAAGTGGTGAAACATCATCAGTTGAGGTGGTTGCGACATGTGTTACGTTTCCCCAATCACCGACTCCCTCGACGAGCAATATTTTGTGGTGTAGGTTTAGGTTGGAAGAAAGCTAGGGGCGGCCAGACTAAAACATGGCACAAATCCATGAAGTCATTGACTAGTGGACTGAGTTATGTTGGTAGATGTAGACTACCTGGTTAGGGTCCGCGAGACGATAGTCACCAATGGTTAGAGACTTTGAATGACATGGCTCAAAATCGTTTGCAATGGCGCAAGTGCATCCATTCGTTGAGCTCTCTCAAATCCTAATCTTCTGGATTCATCAACACCTCTACCTTTGTCTTTCTAACCGTTTTTCACCTAATTATACTTCTTGAATAATATCTTCGAACCCTAGTCTTCTTCATTACCATTAATACCTCTACTATCTTTATCACTATGGGATTTGAGTTGACATTTGCGTCTCTGTGCTAATAATGTGGTATGGCAACATGAACTTATGTACATATGTACGTAGTTCTCACGTTGCAACTGACTGACTGATTGCTTGACTATAACCAATGTGATTGGGTGATTACCGGTTTGACAATCGTCACGATTTAGCACCACTGGTTACAGGTTCTTATCAGAACACCCGAGAATTCCTTTACGAGGCAAGTCACTAGTTAAGTACATGACAATTATTACCAAAAGGTTGTGTCGCCAAGTGCTTCCAGATTTCCAATACTGATCGATCCATGATTTGAATGAAACTGAGCAATTACTACAATTCTTATAGTGACATTTACAAACTTAATGTGATAACATTAGATTAGTTGAAAAAGGGGTTTTATTTAGTACATTCTATTTGACTTGATATATTGAATGCCTTTAATAAACGATAACTCGACTCCTGGAGCACTACTTCTAAGGTTACTGCCGGTCTCAAGCCTGGATAAAGGAGGAGGGTTGGGCATGTGGGATTAATGACCCCATCCTGTAGCAATTATCATGATTAAGTTATTGCATGTACATCCACTCTTTGTGTTCTCTGAAATCCGAACCTTCTGAACTAGTCATCACTTCTACCTTTCTCTTTCTAAACTTATTTCATTGAATTATACTTCTTGAATAATTTCTGCAAACCCTAATCTTCTCCATTATCGCCAATACTTCTACTTCCTCCGCTACTACTATGTGATTTGAATTGACAATTCCATCTCTCTGTGCTAATATGATATGGCAGCATGAACTGATGTATTTAAGTAAGAAGTTCTACAATGTAACTGGCTGAATGACTGACTAATTAAGTTATTGTATATTCTTCTACTCGTAAATTTTTTCTGTGATGATGTATAAACTATTATGGTTTAATATTAAATTATTACTTGATTACACACTAATCTGTCACTTAGTTCTCCTTCACTTATGGTATAGTTGTGTTCATAATGTATTCCTGTCGATCGGTCAGTCAGCTACAATGTAGAAATTCGTATGTATGTACGTACATCAGTTCAAGTTGCCATACAAAATTAGTACAGAAATTCAATTGTCAATTTCAATCACATAGTAGTAGTGAGAAGACTGAGGAAGGCGCGGAAGATTGTATAATGCAAATTTAGACTCTTTGTCAATTAAAAACGAAAACGTTACATTGAACACTCTATTTGCACACCATCTTTGAGTCGTGACTTCCAACGCTTCATCCTTCTTCCATTCCTGTTGTTGCTTCCTTTACTTCCTGTTGGTACTCCATTTACTTCTTGCTTTTGCTCCATTTGCTTTCCGTTTTCCTCTTCTGAGCGTGAGACTTCTTCTTTCACGCCCCTTCTTATACTACTTATGTCGTTCGTATAAGTAGCACACACCACAGTAGATGTAGCAGAAGTATCAGCGATAATGGAGAAGATTAGGGTTAGAAGATGAGAAACAAATGCACCTGCGCTATTGCAAACGATTTCGAGTCTCAAAACGTTGTCAATATGTGGCCAAGATTCTAGTCCATGTTATCGTATTGAATCATTAAAAGAACTGTATAATGTTGTAGTATTATATTCAACCTGCCAATCGATTGAGCGAGCAAATGAATGTGAGAGGTGTTTTTTCTCTCGTCTGTTATCACACCATCATTATGTCTTTTGTATTGGTTATTTGATTCTTTCCAGCGATGTTTAGGCACGGTAACTGATAAGTAAGTCTCTCTTTGCCATCTGTGCATCCTGAGTAGCTAGCTACCTGGAATCAGTAGATGGATGGATGACATGATGATGTTTGAAGCGGAGTAGATATCAACTCTGAACAGCATATACACGCAACTGACGAGTTTCAAATGAGTCGAAACGTGCATCCTGGATTCCACAGCTAACCATTATGCACCCTTTCTAACAAAGATAATAAGTACTGATCAGTTAGTCAGTCAGTTACAACGTAGAACTTCGTACGTAAGTACATCAGTTCATGTTGCCATACCACATCAGCACAGAGACGCCATTGTCAATTCAAATCCCATAGTGGTAGATGTAGTAGAAGTATTACTGATAATAGAGATCAGGATTTGAAGATATTATTCAAGCAGTATAATTCAGTTAAATAAATTTAGAAAGACAAGTAAGGGGTGTTGTTGAAGATTAGGATTCGAGAGAACACAACGAGTGGATGCACCTGAGCCATTGCAAACGATTTTGAGCCATGTTATTCAAGGTCTCTAACCATTGGTGAGTATCGTCTCGCGGACCCCAACCAGGTAGTCTACATCTACCAATATGAATCAGTTCACTTGTCAGTGACTTCATGGATTTCTGCCATGTTTTGGTCTGACCGCCCCTAACTTTCTTCCAGTCTAAACCTACACCACAAAACATTGCTCATCGAAGCAGTCGGTAGTTGGGTATTGGTAACACATATCCCAACCACCTCAACTGATGAAGTACTGGATAGACAATGCAATACGCAAAGTAGGTCAACACCGCTACAGTCTGATTTTAAAAGCGACCAAATAATAACTCCTTAGTTTGTTTTTCCTCTCATTACACTAATAACCAGATAGTTCTACGAGTACTGCCAAAAAAGTAGTCCGTAAACTTTGATTATAAGAACTTTTTTTTAAAAAAAACAAAACTCTAAATGTAACAAAAATGAATTTACCGTAAATCTTGATCCCACAATTGCATACGTATTGTATTCACAATACTTGGTTTACCTAAACGAATGATAATGTTAGCATTTGGCTCCGTCAATGAATGACGTACAACATCATATTCTGAATGTGGTGGAGCTGGTGGTAGTGTTGATCTATGCTGACTACTACTAGTACTACCACCATGTTGTCTTGTAGATGATGGTTGAATCCAACGAGCTGGTTTATGCTGATCATTGGCAGTGGTATTTAACATGTTGGTTGCATCCACTGAACTAATGCTAACATGATGATGATGATTAGGTTGAATTCGATTTTGAGCATTGGATGACCATGATTGATTACTTGTGGTTGGATTATGTAATGAACTCCAAGAATTATTATTAATATTATTATTATTATTATTATCATTATTATTATTATTATTAATATTAAGTGTATGTTCTAGGCTCCAAGCTACACCTTCAGATAGAGAACTTCGAGGTAATTGTACGGGATTTTCACGTTGACTGAATAATTGACCTGTTTTTTTAAGCAGAAAAAAGACATGTATAATATTTAAGAGACTGAAATGATAATAAAACTAATTGAATCATAGTCGTTATAATAGTGGTATGATGGATACTACTCTTGAGGTGGCATATAAGTAGCATACAGTGGACAGACCGACAGATAGGCAAGCCCGACCACCACGTCAAGGTAGTAGCTACGGTCAGGAGTATGCAGTGGAGCATCCTCCATAAGGTGCTACTAGGTAGGAGATTAGAATGCTTGACTTGATCAGAGTGTAGTGAAGACTAGAAGAGATGTGAGATGGTAGGTAGTCAGAAACCTGCCTGTGTATTGTAAAACGGATGTCTAAAGATGCTGTGTACATAGTTTGTAAATAAACTGTTTTAGTTGCACGCGATCTGACTCCGATTTGGACGAACGAGTGAATATGCTATGAGATAAAACTCCAATCTAATTTCCGTATATTATTCTTAGGCAAACTCGGTTTGTGCGACAGTTGTAATTAAAAGCCCATTACGGATTTTTAGGTGAATTTATCTTATATATTCGTGCAAGCAGACAGAAAATAGAATACGGAACGTAAAAGCGAAGCAAAGCAAAGCACAGAAGGCGAGTGAACCAACTCCATGCGCTGAGGCATGACTAGGTAACTAGTCAGTAAAAAATAAGCTTGAGGTGTGGTAGTGAGCGGAGTAATGCAAATAAACACATACAAAAGTAGAAACGACCAAGGTCAAAAACGAATTGTAGATAAAGTCAAAAGGCATGTGAATAACGACTAGAAAAGAATGAATTAATCAATCTGTCTAAAGGCTAGGACAAGCCATATTGGATCAACATATTAGTAAACACTACAAGCTCGTAGATGTATTCGAAGTGAGGAATGATGTCAGATAAGATCGAGTACTCCTACGATTAGAACATATTCGTAAGTGTCTTCTAAGCATTGCCCGTATAATCTGGGATCATCGAGTAAGCAGTGCTGGTGTTTGGATAAAGGTACTAGGTAAGGATAGGAAAACAGTTGATGAGGTAGTAAAACTTCCGGTTTTGTGGTGTAAGGGTAGACAGGAAGAAAGCTAAGGGCGATAAAACCAAACCACGAGACAAATCCATGAAGTCACTTCAAGTGGTGTCCGTAAGGGATGTCCACTCTCTCCATTCTTGTTTAATTTTATCATAGACATGCTCCTAGAAATAACCTTATCCTCGTCTGAATTTTCAGGAGTAGACCTGCCAGGTGGCTCGCTAATTGACTTAGAATATGCCGACGACATAGTCCTACTTGGTGAGGAAGCTGACAAAATGCAGAGTCTTCTGACTACCCTAAGCAACAATGCAAGCATGTTCGGGATGCGGTTTTCCCCCTCGAAATGCAAAATGTTGCTTCAAGATTGCGTTGCATCGGCACCTGAACTAGTAGTGATAGGGAGTGAAGTAGTCGAGCGTGTAGACCGCTTCACTTATCATGGGAGTCTCATCAGTGCCGATGACCTGGTGACTGACGAAATCTTACCTTGGATATAGAAGGCTCGATTGGCTTTTGTCAACCTGCGTCACTTATGGCGTAGGCGAGATATCCGTTTGCTGACTAAAGGACGAATGTACTGTGCAGTAGTTCGCTCCGTTCTCCTATATGGCTGTGAAACATGGCCGTTAAGAGTAGAAGATGTTCGTAGGTTACTAGTCTTCGATCATTGGTGTATCCGAAGCATTGCTCGTGTATCCTCGGACGATCGAGTAAGCAATGCTATCGTTAGGAAACGAGTTCTAGGTAAGGATGGCAAATCAATAGATGAAGTGGTGAAACATCATCAGTTGAGGTGGTTGGGACATGTGTTACGTATGGCTAACCACCGACTGCCGCGACGAGCTATGTTTTGTGGTGTAGGAGTAGATTGGATGAAAGCTAGGGGCGGCCAAACCAAAACATGGCAGAAATCCATGAAGTCAGTGACCAGTGAACTGAGTCATGTTCGTAGATGTAGGCTACCTGGTTGGGGTACGTGAGATGCTAGTCACCGATGGTTAGAGACGCTGAACGACATGGCTCGGAATCGTTAGCAATGGCTCAGGTGCGTCCACTTTTTGCGTTCTGTGAAATTCTAAAATTCTGAATTCCTCATAATCTCTATCTTTCTCTCTCTCAATTTGTCTCACTGATTTATACTTTTTGAATAATATGTTCGCTCCCTAATCTTCTCCATTACTGCTAATAATTCTACTATCACTATCACTCTTGTATTTGAAGAGACAGTTACATCTCTGTGCTGATGTGATATGGCAACCTGAATTGATGTACTTACGTACGAAGTTCTACGTTGTAGTTGGTTTAAAAAGACCAATAATCAACCAATCACTAAGCGTAATATATTATTACTGAATTCTTCGCAACAATAAGAAACATGGTAGAATTTATCACGAATAACAGTAGCCAGAATCTAATTCTCATCTGTTTGAAAAAAAATATTACACACTAATTATTACTTTATAATTAATACACCAAAAGTTAAGTTAAAAAAAAATACCTGAATTATCAAACATCATCTCCATAGTTGATGGTGCTTGTATCTGTTGATCAGTAGTATTTTGTTGTGGTTGTTGTTGCTGCTGCTGAGATCTACGGTGAATTTCGTCTAATTCTTCGTCTATATCTTCCTCCTCCTCATCATCATCCACGTCATCAATACTGTCACTGTCATCGTCAGTAACAGCAGCAACAGTAGTAGCAATTAAATTTTTCACTGAATAATAATCTACATTGGAATAATCAGGCTCATCATTGATGTTTAACGATTCAATATTTAGCTTATTTGTTGTTGTTGTATTTGTTGTTGTATTCAATTCATCCGTATCAACAAAAAAATGTGGATATGTTCCTTTTTCACCAGCAATCAATGTACAACCGAAACGAGGAGAGGCTAAATTAACACCTGGTACTGGAATATGGAAATTATTAATCATATAAATACTACTTATTGTTTTTTTTTAAAAAAAAGAATATTTAAAAAGACATTGGCGATAAAAACAAATTCAATTCAATTCATAGAATGTGTATTTCTTGAAGTCTACTGTAGTGCGAGCTACTCATAAGTAGTATATGACGTGAGTGTCAACGTAATGTCTGGCAGCCGAAGATGGGGGAAGATCAAGAAAGGGAGAGTTTGTATGGAACGCATGAATAGTGACAATGGATTGATGTTTTGCAACAGGAAAAGTCCAGTTCGATATGATGGACTGATATTTTGCAAATTAACGATTTACGATATGGTTTTCCGATTTTACTGAGTAACTCTGTAATTTTCGTTAAATACAATTCGGTTGCCCTCACCTGTGTTCTCGTTCACTACACTACCATAAAAAATATAATATAAAGTGAAATTTATTTGACAAGTATTGAACCTCTTAACACAGTTGCGTAGCCTGATATCTGACAAAATCTCAGCATGGATACAAAAGACTTTGGTCGAACTGTGTCACTTATGGTGTAGGAGAGATATCCGCCTGCAGACTAAAGGACAAGTCTACTGCGCAGTAGTTCGCTCTGTCCTATTATATCGTTGTGAAACATGGCCAGTAAAAGTAGAGGATATTCGCAGATTACTGGTTTTCGATCATAGATGTCTTATTAGCATTGCTCGTATATCTTAGGACAGTCAGTCTGGTAAGCAATGTTGATGTTTGGAAACGAGTAGTAGGGAGGGATGGCAAATCGATAGATGAAGTATTGAAACTTCATCACTTGAAGTGGTTGGGACATATGTTACGTATGCCCAACTACCGACTGCCTCGTCGAGCGATGTCTTGCAATGTAGGAGTAGGTTAGAAGGAAGCTAGGGGCGCCCAGACTAAAACATGGCACAAATCTATGAAGTCGCTGACAAGTGAACTGAGTCATGTTGGTAAATGTAGACTAACTGGTTGGATTCCGCGGGATGATAGTGACCGATGGTTAGAGACATTGAACAACATGACTCAAGATCGTTTGCAATGGCGCACGTGCATCCAATCTTGGTGTTCTCTCAAATTCTAATCCTCTGAATTCGTCATCACTTTCATCTTTCTCTTCTCAAATTTATTTCACTGAATCATACTTCTTGAAGAACATCTTCGAACCCTAATCTCTCCGATTACCGCTAATACTTCTACTGCATCTACCAGGATGGGATTTGAATTGACAATTGAAGCTCTGTGCTAATGTGGTATGGCAACTTGAACTGATGTGCGTACGTACGTTGTTGCTGACAACGGTTTTTTTTGGATTTCTATTTACACACCCAAATGATGAATGAGTTTTGATGTTTGCCTAGTTTGTAGTATGCACTGACGGGATCGTATTGACAGAGTAAGAGGATATGAGACCATCAGTATAAGTGATTCAACAATACGATCTATTGTGTTTCATTTCAGATGGTAAGAGGTGTGGGATACGTCTAGCTGACGAATTTCAAATAAGAGATAATGTACGTCCTGGACTCTATATTGCTGGCTACTAATCTAACCCTACATCTTACTTTCAGCCTGATTGATTTCACCCAGATGATCTACTGAAAACACAGTAGGGAAAAGAATGAATTTGTAGAACAAATATAATAATTATCGATTAATTTTATAAACTCATTATCTAAGCGAAGACAACGCTTTAAATAAATCTATGCACTATTATGATAGAATCTGAGTCAATATCACACACAACATATTTAGTGAGGATAATAATTGCATGTGTGCCTGAAACCAAACGGTATATACCCTACTTACTGTTACGCCTGCACGTAAACACGTCAACTTGATATACTTGAACTACTACGAGTTTACCTAGTCGGAAAACGAGAGCGAGGATCCAGTGACACGACATACTACTCAAATCCGATTATCCCAACCCCCATATTTAGTTAAAAATAAGAAGACGTGATATGAAGTAGAACATGCATTCTACAAGCATCCAGAAAGCATGAGGTCCGAATCCAGAAGAGAATCAGGATCCGGGACCCAGCCCTGATCCTGGTCGTGGTCATAAAATGTTACAGATAATGCGTATATATACATTTTGGTCGAATAGGAAACAGCATCGAATTCTGTGGCATTGACAGTTAAGACGACCAATAGGAGGTAACATTTGAAATGACATTGACAGTCAGGATGACCAATGAGAGACAACATTTAAGTATTTGACTTTGAGAATTAAAACGACCATAATTTTGACCAATAGAAATCGACCAATAGGAATTGACCAATAATTCTCTTAGGATATTGGATGAATATCCTAACACTTACAGTACATATTTTAAATAGTCAATGAATTCATGAATTGTGTGGTTAGATGTTGTTTAAGCTGCCTGTACCTTTCTTCTTCTTATGATTCTTAACATTCCATATGAAGAATGTTGAGTTTCATTGAAATGATGAATCGATGATCAGTGTTAGACTGCCATTAGAAACCTGAAAGCACGGAAAGATGGCCATCTCGTCGTAGTATGGAACTACTCATCAGAGGTGCACACCTACGAACCCCTCAAGTGGGAATAGAACCCCACACATTCGGTCTCCGTTTTTAAAGTCTAACTTCAATTAGTCCACAATATTGCGCAACCACAATCATTGCGTACGATGGTTACCGGCCTTACACTCGACACAACTTAGCTCCACTGGTCAGTTAAGGTTATGAAGACTGTTGATCACCATTAGGCTGTCCAGTGCTTCCGAGTTTCTCATGGTGGTGTCTAAACATGGATTATTATCATCAATTCATGATTGCCAAAAATAAAAATAGAATCTCTTATACAAAAAAAAAAACAACTTACATAAAAAGCCACGATGTAACATTTTATCAGGACAATTAGTTTGTCGATTAATTGCATCTAATAATTCTTCTGAACTAACTAATTTCGATGAACGTACTTCAGTTAATAATTCCGTAAGAGACATTAATTCAAAACGAACACATTGACGCATCAGTTGAGTACAACGAGAATCTGTCGAAATATTAGTCGTATCAGTAGTAGTAGTAGTGGTAGCAGTAGTAGTAGTAGTACTGACATTATCCTTTGATGATGATTCTTTCGCACTCTCAACATCTTGATTATGAAATTAAAAATAAACAAGAAATTTAACTAATAATTAGATATAAGAAATAGACTAATGTGACTTCAATTGCGAAAAACTTCGTCTGATTAACAAGTAGTTTTAATGGAGCAACACTGTAATACTTCAGAAGATAATGATTGATTTAAGAATGAACAGACCAATGATTACTTACTTACTTACTTACGCCTGTTAACCCCAATCGAGCATAGGCCGCACACCAGTTTTCTCCAACCAACTCTGTCCTCGGCTTCCCTCTCCAGTTCTGTCCAATGTTTGTTCATTCCTCTCATATCTTTCTCTATTTCTCGGCGTAGTGTGTTCCTTGGACTTCCTCTTTAACTTTTGCCTTGAGGGTTCCATGTGAGGGCTTGTCTCGTGACGCAGTCAGGTGCTTTTCGTAGTGTGTGTCCTATCCACTTCCACAGCTTCTTCCTGATTTCCTCCTCCACTCGAATCTGACTTGTTCTCTCTCACAGTTCGTTGTTGCTGATGGTGTCTGGCCAACGAATACGAAGTATTTTGCGTAGACAACTGTTAATAAATACTTGTATCTTCAGGATGATGGCTTTCGTAGTTCTCCATGTTTCCGCTCCATACAGTAGAACTGTCTTCACATTTGTATTGAAAATCCTTATTTTGGTTTTGGTTGAAAGTTGTTTGGAGTTCCAGATATTTTTCAATTGTAGAAATGCAGCCCTTGCTTTGCCAATCCGCGCCCTCACATCTGCATCCGATCCACCTTGGTTGTCGATGATGCTGCCCAGATATGTAAAGGTGTTCACGTCCTCCAAGGCATCTCCATCAAGAGTGATTTGGTTGGTGCATGTTGTGTTGCATCGGAGAATTTTGCTTTTTCCTTTATGTATGTTGAGACCTACTGCTGCAGAGGCTGCTGCTACACTGGTCGTCTTCTCTTGCATTTGTTGTTGAGTGTGCGATAGAAGAGCCAGGTCATCTACGAAGTCCAGATCGTCCAGCTGCGTCCTAACTGTCCAGTTGATACCATGCCTCCCTCCAGATGTCGACGTCTTCATAATCCAGTCGATGACCAGGAGAAAGAGAAAGGGTGAGAGTAAGCAACCTTGCCTGACACCGGTCTTCACCTCAAAAGAGTCTGTCAGCTGTCCTTCGTGTACGATTTTGCAGTTGAATCCATCATAAGAATTCCGTATGATGTTGACTATTTTCTCAGGCACACCGTAGTGTCGAAGAAGAGTCCACAGTGTTTTCCTATCCACGCTATCGAATGCTTTCTCGTAGTCGATGAAGTTGATGTAGAGTGGTGAGTTCCATTCAATTGATCGTTCTACAATGATCCGTAATGTAGCAATTTGGTAGAGTTAAAATGGTTTGAATTATTTTCTCTGGTTAGCGTTTTTTTGGCAAGTTAGATTTCGACGGAATGGGGTCGCCAACCCCATGTCCAACCCTCCTCCTTTACCCGGGCTTGGGACCGGCAGTAGCCCCGAAGGTTCCTACTGGCGGAGTTAATCAGTCAGTCAGTCAGATGCAACGTAGAACTTGATACGTAAGTACATCAGTTCGTGTTGCCATACCACAACTGGCGGAGTTAATAGACCAATGATATGTAAGTTAAATGCCGCATTATTTAAAAACTTGATTTCTTCACAGATTGACTAGCACATTTGCTTTGAAATCATGAATCGATCAATGTTAGGCAATCATTAGACAACTAAAAGCACTGAAAGACGAAGGTTTCAGCTTGGTATGGGACTTATAAGCAGTAAACACCAGGCATCATCGCTAGCCGATGCAGTCAGTGGTTAGGCATAAGTAACATATGTTTAAACCACATCCACTACTTCATCTATTGATCTGTAATTCTTACCTAATACCCTTTTCCTAACATTAGCATTGCTTACTCGATTGTCCTAGGATATACAAACAACGCTTCGAACACACCTATGACCGAATACTAATAGCCTACGAATATCCTCTACTCTTAATTGTCATGTTTCACACCCATAGAGTAGGATGGAGAGAACTGCTATACAACAGACTACTCATACCTTGGCTAGCAGACGGATATCTCACCTACACCATAAATGATGCAAGTTAACAAAAGGCAATCAGCTTTTTGTATCCATGCTGAGATTTTGTCGCACACCAGATAAGGTGAGACACGCGATCGTAATTAAATACTAGTACATATATCTACATTTTTTCATAGAAATCTTCATTGTTAGTACAACAGCTTTAATATTTATTAAAGCTGCGCGATACACGCATCTTCTGGTTGGCAAAGGATGAGTCTGATGTGCAGCAGTTCGCTCCGCCCTATTTTAACGGTGTGACACATGGCCTGTAAGAGCAGATATTCGTCGGTTACTAGTATTCTATCATACGTGTCTTCGAAGCATTGCTCGTATATCCTTCGACCACCGACCGAGTAAGGAATGCTAGCGTTAAGAATCGAGTACTAGGTAAGAAAGGGAATCAATTGACGAAATACTGAAATCTCATCAGTTGAGATGGTTAGAACGTTTGTTACGGATGCCCAACCACCGACTGCCTCGATGAGCAATGTTTTGTGATGTACGAGTAGGTCGAAATAAAACTAGAGAGGTAAACTGGGCACAAATCAATGAAGTCACTGACAAGTGAACTGCTCCACGTAGGTAAATGTATACTACCTGGTTGGGGTCCGCCGCAAGATGATAGTAATTAATGGTTAGACATGTTGAACCCCATGACTCAAAATCCTTTGCAATCGCGAAGATGCATCCATTCTTTATTTTCTCTCAAATCATAATCGTCTGGATTCTTTATCACCTTTATATTTCTGTTTTCATAATTTATTTCATTGAATTATACTTCATGAAGAATATCATCTTTCAATCTTAATCTCTCCGATTACTGCTAATATACTTCTACTACATCAACTACTATGGGATTTGAATCAACAATTGCATATCTCTCTGTGCCAATGTGTTATGGCAACTTGAACTGTTGTATACACATACGTAGGAAGTTCTACGTTGTAACTGACCGATTGACTGACTGACTGAAAGCTTTGTCAACTGAAAACTTTTATTCATAAGATAAATTAATCCTGGATGGAAATAAATAACATCAACATCAAAAACAATACAATACAATACAATAAATTTACTTTCAATTGATAATCCTGATGATGATTGTTTCAAGTGGTCTGTTTCAGCAGTGTTATTCTCAATTGGTACACTAGTTTGTTCAGTTACGCTATGATGATGATGATGATTATTATTATCATCGTTTGATTCAGGAATATTTGGTGAATGTGACGTTGGTAATGTTCGTTGACAATTCAGCTCTTTAGAATTTCGTAACCATGCGCATATAGCACGAAATATTTCAATTTCCGAAGCACAGAAACTATCACGAGATAGAAGACGTTCAACAGATGACTGAAATAATAAAAAAATATTATAAATTAATTCATTTTTATGTCAATAACAGATTGGTCAATTTATTTTATTACTAAATATACGTCCTCTAACTCGGCTTCGGCCTCTAGATAATTCATAACATTAAATGATTCACATGAACTGAACACGTGATCACTGAGGACTTAAATATAAATTAATTCAACTTGAAATGGTTCGGATTAACCTATGACTGATATTTTGACTGAAATTTGACTAATCATGGTCACAGCATATGGGTGTCCTATGTGATTTGTCTTAACATAACGCTTTATGACACAAGTTCACATGTGGCCAGCAGTGGAATCGAGGACGGGCGATTCATTCTATTTAAGATTTGTCTCTAGTTGGATGCATCTGCATCACAGAGTTGACGTTCGCTTCAGGACTTAGTACTTAGTACTCGTCTATGCAACAAGTATGAGATTTAATTAAATTTAAATAAACTAATCAGGTTTCTGGTAAGTGTAATATGCAAACGGAAGTAAAATACTATATTCATGTATGAATAGTTAAACCTTGATTCATACAAATATTCTAAATGAATTTTATTAATCGGTACTATTATCTCCATGAAGTATCAAGAAATTAATAGGATATGTCTTGTCTTTTAATGTACATCGAACTGGTACGTATAGTTTAGTTTAATGATGACAACACTTCATGAACAATAGAATAGTACGTAGATGTGTCTAATTAATGTTACAAGATAATTTAGATGTAAAAATATATACGCTAAATTGGTAAATATAGATTATGATAGTGCAGTGAGAAGACGTAACTGATCTGAAAAACATACATTTTGAACGATCTGTTTACACATATATACACTTGTCAAGGCATTTTGTAAGAAGATTAGAAGGTGAGAGATGACAAATAGTGGATGCAACTGTACTATTACAAACGATTTCGAGCCATGTCACTTAAGGTCTCTAACCATCGGTTACTATCACATCTCATGGACCCCAACCAGGTAGTCGACACTTACCAACATGACTCAATCCAGTTGTTAGTGACTTTTTGGTTTGATTTGGTCTTCTCTAACTTTTTTCCAACCTACTCTTACACCGCAAAACATGACTCGACAAGGAGGCAGTCGGTAGTTGTGTAGTGAACGAGAACACAGGTGGGGCAACCGAATTGTATTTAACGAAAAATTACAGAGGTACTCAGTAAAATCGGAAAACCATATCGTAAATCGTTAATATGCAAAATATCAGTTCATCATATCGAACTGGACTGTTCCTGTTGCAAAACATCAATCCATTGTCACTATTCATGCGTTTCATACAAGTTCCATTGTGTTCTTCTAACTCTTCCTTTCTTGATCTTCCCCCCATCTTCGGCTGCCAGACATTACGTTGACACTCACGTCATATACTACTTATAAGTAGCTCACACCACAGTTGGGCCTATGTAACACATGTCTCAACCACCTCAACTGACCTGCCATCCTTATCCAGTACCTGCTTCCTGATAACAGCACTGCTTTCACTCGATAGTCCCAAGATATAAACAGTGAATAAAACGTGTGAGAAAAAACACATAGATGTATACATCATTAAGTACTTTTCTAATTCGGCAAAATATTCTTCTAATTAGGGAAGTCCTATTGATCATCTTTCTTTCCTAAATTGTATTTGTAAGCAATAAATGTGAACTAATGATTGATCAATTGATAAATTAATATATATAGTAATCAGTTACAAAGTTGAAGTTTCGTTTTAAATAGAATGGCAAGAAATATTTTGAACTAATCAAAATGTAATAATACCATATTTTTAACTTTGAACAGTACTCATTCAGATGATGAATTCTTTGGAAAACAAATTTACAGTACCCAAAAACAAGAATCAACGAAAATGATGTTGAAATAACATATAATCATATACGCGTACAAAGACTTAATAAACTAACCTGTGAAAGTCTAAGAAATCGTGGATTATGTAAAGTAGCAGGTGCAAGACAATCTAAGAATCGTAGACAAGCTGTTATAAGACCATCCAAATTATACATGACAGCTAAATCATAAATACACCAAACGTTTTTCACCGAAAGAGAATGTGTCAAATAAGTTGATATGACATTTTCCAAACTACGAAAATTATATTGATGAGCAAGACATAAGATGCTAAGAGTAAGCTGAATGTATATTGTAAAAGGAAAAAACAGAAAACTCAGTGTTATGTATATAACATTGATCGATTTATGGTTTCAAAAATGTGTAACTTAACAATCTTCACAACCTCGTAATGCAAATTACCTGTGCTCACTAGTGACTAGCTTCGTGAGGAATCTTCTCCGAGTTCTAGTGGGAAGACGTGACCAGTGAAGTTCAACCTGTTCGGGTGTAGACAGTAACTACCGAAGACTGTGTATGAGGTTGCGCAACTCCGTGAATTTGATCAAGTTAGACATTAACACCGTTGGATACCGGCTCAGTGGTCTAACGGTTAGGGCGTTCGCGCACAATATAGCGAAGGTCCTGAGTTCGAATCCTGCGGGGTGCAGGAGTCATGAATGCGCACTGCTGAGGAGTCCCATACCAGGACGAAACGACCGTCCAGTGCTTCCAGGTTTCTAATGGTGGTCTAACATTGATCGATTCATGGTTTCAAAAATGTGTAACTTAACAATCTTCACAACCCCGTAATGTATATAAGAAAAGATGAATTTAAAAAAGTGTACAAGAAAAATATTAGAAATTCAACCTTTATGAATAAAATTGAGGACTAATCACACACGAATAGATTGTATGCAATCATAATGATTTAGTTAGTTAGTTAGAAATTACAAACAAGTTTTTTTTATGACATCAAAAATCACATGAATTAAATTTTAATCAAAGATTGAAATTAATTATGAATCATTTCGACAACAATAAAATGTATATTATACTATACTCAGATGGAATAAACATATTGATTAAAATGTATGAAATAATCAAATTTTAATTAGAGACTTCATGTTTGTATATCATTAATGAAGGTGGATCGGATGCAGATGTGAGGGCGCGCGGATTGGCAAAGCAAGGGCTGTATTTCTACAGTTGAAAAATATCTGGAACTCCGAACAAATATCAATCAACAACAAAATCAGGATTTTTAATACAAATTTCGAAACAGTTCTACTGTTTGGACCGGAAACTTGGAGAACTACGAAAGGAATCATCCAGAAGATACAAGTGTTTATTAACAGTTGTCGACGCAAAATACTTCGGATTCGTTGGCCAGACACTATTAGCAACAACTTACTGCGGGAGACAACAAACCAGATTCCAACAGAGGAGGAAATCAGGAAGAAGCGTTGGAAGTGGATAGGACACACACTACGAAAACAGCGTCACAGGACAAACCCTCACTTGGAACCCTCAATGCAAAAGGAAAAGTGGAAGGCCAATGAACATATTACGCCGAGAAATAGAGAAAGATATGAGAAAAATGAAAAAAAAATTGGACAGAACTGGAAAGGGAAGCCCAGGACAGAGTTGGTTGGAGAATACTGGTGGGTGGCCTATGCTCCATTCGGAGTAACAGGCGTAATTAAGTAAGTAAGTTGTATATCAATCATGAAGCATCAATAATGGGTTGTGGTGCATATGTCGAAAAAACCAACTTTATAGTTGTCAATTATTAGAAATTATGATATATATTTATAATATGAAAACAAGTAAAATAGATTGAATTTCTAATATTTTACATGGATCAGTATGAGTTGCTTCTTTGGATAATGAGTAAATAAAAAGAAATATGTAAGTTTATCTATTCGTCTTATCAATGTTCAATTCAACTGCAATAACAAGCGCTTGTCGTTTATTTACTACGTAAGTGTTACATATAAGAGCATAATTTTCAACTGAGATTTCGATTCAATCATTTGAAGTCACTTGAATTTGTCTTCTACGAAAATACCACCGCAGTATATCCCAAGTTGCCGGATGTAAAAAGCAAATAAAGTTAGAGCCTGAAACGGAATCCTTAGTGAAAATTGTGCTCTCATCTATAGCACTCACCAATTAAAGTCACAAGTGCCCAAAACGCTTGGTGCCACATAAATATAGTAAACACTGGAAAATAGATACATAAACCATCAATTAAGTATATATATATATATATACATATATATATATATACATATATATATATATTTTAACTGTTTCATTTTTATCTATATTTGCATCCGAAATCGTTGATTTGAAACCAAGTGTTTGATGATATTATGTAAGTTATCTTGAAGTGGCTTCTATATACTGTCTAGATATTTAAAGAGTATGATGGGGGAGCTTGAGAAGTCCACTATAGATTACGATGGAAGATTGAGTTTATGAATAGTTGGTGAACAATCTAATTACCTAGTATTTGATTCGTACTGTAAGGCAAAACTCAGCAAAACGCTAATGAATAGTTCAAGTTTATCTAGAGGCTCAATTGTTTGTGATCTGATTTTACGTTTGACCACTTGAAGATTTTGAGATGGTGGAGAAAATTTGTAGCTCATGTGGACGATTGTGGTGGCGTTCTGTGTACAGCTGAACATATCCGCTTACTTCGCTTTAATTTAGTTTGCAAAATCGTTTAAAAGCTTGTAAAGATACAGAATGATGCGACTATAAACATTTACCAGAGATGTCTGCAGTTACAATTCTACATTCTCTTTGCTATGATAACACTAATACGACTATATTTATGTTCGTATTTTTAGATCACTTTTTAAACTGCAGATTCACTAGCTGATCCTCAGTACACGATAAGATAATGCTCCAGAATATATATCTGATCTGACTAGTTTAGAAACAAAAAGCTGTGGTTTCAACTCGACAATCATTTACAATATTTAGGTAGCCTAATCTCTTGTGAGTTGGTCAACATTTAATCTTACAAAGCATCAGGCTTGTTAGATAACAGTACACTTTATTTCCAGACAACAAAAAACTGATTGAACACCATACACTGCAATGTTGTGTGAAATTTTACGATGAGTACCCGAATTAGAGATTTCGAAAACAACGGTGATAATTATCTTGACAGTTAGTTATGAAACAATGTACAGTCTGGTTTTGTTTCGTACTTTGTGAGATTGGTAGGAATTTGTGTATAAAATTTTGAGAGATTTCTGTTTCGATTTTCACTTCCTATTAATAAGACAGCTAGTGAATCAATATGTCCATTTTTCGCCCTTTAGTATTAAAGAAACCTAATCAAAGTAGTGATATGAGCCTGTGAATTTAGGGGAAAATGTGTACATTCAGTTTGTAAAGAAGTGGGCAATACTTTTATTTTGTGAATAATGAACTAAATGATTAGTCTCTTCTAAACACATGGTCAAAGTTATGACTTTCTGGGTATAAAAATATTGTATTTCCTCTACGTAGTTGACTTTTCCAGATAAACCAAATGCATAGCTCGTCGGTTACCGAAGATTTGACTTTTATGACATTATTTAGCATGTTTTCTTATTAAAAAATTGGCTCAATTGCGTCAAATTTGCAAAAATAAAAGGAATAAACTAACCTTAGGTTTTTTTAATTTCATCTGACCGGTATAAATGTAGTGTAGGATGCTTTTGAAAGCTGTCACATTAATATCATTTAGATGAACAATAGATGAAGACGACTCAGCCAATCCTCCATAAAACAATGCTCTAAAGTATTCAGAGCGAGCTGCCAATATAGCTCTGTGGGCGGGGAAATGAGTATTTTGAACAACCAAAGTAACATCACTGAATGCTTCATTCCGATATAGCTGAGAAATACACGGAATAATTTCCTTAGAATGATTAATCTCATACACTAGAGGGTCATCCTGCGCAGCATTAGTAAATGAAACCCCAGAACAAGTCAATGCTTGATTAGACATTTTCGTGACCTCCAAGTGTACCGTTAGGCTGAAGTTGCCACTTCTGCGCTATCGCACAACCTTATATTGGAAGCCTTGAAAGGTGGAACTAATGAACCTTTATCTCTGGAGGCTGTATTTAGATATAAGTCATTATCAGTTTTATCATTTTTATCAGGGTACTTTTAGAGGTTGAAGGACGAAATATGTTGGTAATAGAAAAGTAGCATGTGTCGTTTACAATATCCAATATCTTTTTCCCGAGGTAGTATAAGCCACTTGATTTCTTTGCTCTCGATTCCTGTTCTTTCGATACGGATACAGGTTTTTAGTAGTGTCCAATGAATGAGGGTGTAGATGCGCGATCTTTCAAAGATTGCCTCGAGGGGAATGGTGGTGGATGGTTTGGGATGGTTTGGCGTGCTAAATATGTCGTACGCCATAATCAGGTCACCTCCGATTCTCCTGTAACTCGGGGGGAATAGTCCTAAATGCCAGAGTCGATCTTCGAAAGTTTTATTTTTCAACTCTACCACCCATTTCGTTACTCTTCTCTGCACTCGATCCAAGAGATTTATGTCTCTGCTAAGAGGGGCTAGGACAACGTTGTGAACCTCAACATGTGGGCGTGCATATATTTTAAAAACGTTAGGAATAATTCTGGGGTGATAGCACCAAACTTTCTTCGCATAAAGCGAATAGTTGCATTTGCCTTGTCTGTGTCCTGTATGTAGTTCGAACTGGTGTCGAGGCTTTCAGTGGTTATTATACAGAGATTGCTCTCTGAGGAGACATTAAGCAGAGGGGTTCCACTTAAGGTAGAATGTACACGACGTGATATCTAGGCTGGTTTAGTTAAGATTAGGTGTGAACGGTCTGCCTTCTCGAAAACTGTGTTAAACTTCATAGAGTACTTTGTTCTTATCCATGTACTCCCTTGTCACTTAGTTCACCAGCCCTTCCATTGCGTTTGGTAGTATTATTAGTAATGAGACTGATCTATAACACTGTAGTGCCTCCACATATCTTCCAGTTCGCTTACATGTAACTTGGTTAAGCCGTTTCGATTGATTTATTTAACCAAGCCATTTGTACTGCAACAATTTATATGTACCATTCGTTCTTATTATTGTCTGGTTTGTATGAGCTCACATTACGAGTCATTTGACCTTGTTAATCATTCGTTGCTTTTATTAATGTGTGCCTATTTCGCTTGTTGCATGTCTGTCTTACATTTGTCTGACTATATATTCTTAGTCATGCTCTATCTCTTGGAGTTGGATCAATTGCCTTCTCCAACGCGCTTCGCCTATTCATTCGCTTCCTTCGCCCATTCGTTCGCATTGTAATCCTAGGAGTTGGCTCATTAGCCTTCACCAATTCACGTCGTTTCGCATGCTTTGTTCGCTGCTTTTCAACTTCGCTTTGCGGAGTGTCCAAAATTAAACGTATTCATTACTTCGAATTTGCGGAATCTATTTTGAAGGCTTTGTTTTTGGAAAATCCCTCCATGTGTATATACTTGTGTTATGATATGACTGACTCTCCCTGTTGATATTTTGGTACTTTATTGATTTCATTTTGAGATTTTATCATTTGTATCTTGTTATTATTTCTATATCTTGTACTTATATTGAAGTTTCCATGTTCCTTCTAAATTATACATATGTTGTTTAAAATTGATATTTAATATGGCTACAGCTATATTTGGATTTGATACTCTAGCAGTAATTGACTGGAAGCACTTATTCTTCCAGTAACGGAACCTATTGTGGTAATTGGAAACTCGAAGGTGTAATATTGTTTTGGTAATTGTCTGTATTTCCTTTTTTAATTAAATACAGAACCGTTCTCTCCCAGAATTATCGTTTTTGGACTTGGACTGGGTGGGACGCGTATGAACCTACAACTTGCGGGTTAAAAGCGGACTGCAAGGGTAAATTATAATTTAACAGAGTTTATCTTCTGATTTATAACCATCAGACGCTACTTTGTAACGATTGTCTAGACAAGCTAATTACCGAGCTTTAGAACACACAGTAAATTGGCTACCACAACACTCTGGGTCCTTTCTATCTCCTCCTTTGAAAATTTAAGAAAGAGTAGCATGTTTCAGTTCAGGTGGGAGTTAAAGTGACTACAGTGAATGCCTAAACACTGTTTAATGACTACGGGGAGCATATTGTCACAATCTGGTGACTTTCCTGGGAGTAAGGATTTCAGTTTCCTTAGTTCTAAGTCAGGAGTAATATGGATATTCCCTATTCCGTCAGTTGGCACTGGGTTTGTGTAGTACTCTGAACAAACGGATAGCTGGTTTAAATGTTCAGTGAAGTTTGTGTCGAAAATCTCAGCCATTTCTAGGTTGGTTAGGTCTTCTCCGTTCGGACATTTGAGATAACACATGCCCTGATAAGTAGGTTTTCTTTTTGTCACGAACCTAAACAGATGCTAACGGTTTGGACAGCTAACTCCATATGAAATCGTCTCCTATCAATTCGAACATTGGCACTGCATCTGTTTCTCAATACCAAGTATGAACTGTGATAGAAATCCCTCAAGGAGACCTTTCATTTTCGCCTGGCTGTCCTCTTAGCCTGTGCCATGAACTGATTGAAATTAGACTTGAATTGAAACTAGAGTCAAATGATTCCTGGTTTTCAATCGTTTAAAAACCTTGGTCATTTCATGATTTTGATGAGATTTCGTTCTGTCAAAAATGTTAATTTGACATGCCCTTCAAAGTTTTTAACATAGTGATATTTCAATACCCACATGACTCAGTTCGATATTATTTTTGTCCAACATGTTTTGAAACAATTTTTACTGTTACAAACCATATCTTAAATTCGTTCATACATACATATGTATTGTTGTCATTCTAGTAACGATGTATTTTGTCAGAAATAACATAAGAATTCACACAGACACCATTTTTATATTATTCATCCATTTCTGATGACCGGACAGCATTCCAGCAGAAGGGATGAAAGTCGACGTATCAGTAACTACAAAAATACTGTACGTTCTGTTCAGCAAGATTTGAGATAAAGAACAAGTACCAACAGACTGGAAAGAAGGATACCTTATGAGAATACCAGAGGAAGACGATCTCAGAAAGTGTGAGAACTACAGAGGCATCATTCTTCTCTCAATAAAACGAAAAGTCTTCAATAGGGTGTTGTTAAACAGAATGAAGGACTTCGTAGACGCCCAACTTCGAGATCAGTATGGTGGATTCCATAAGGATCTATCGTGTACTGACCAAACCGCAACATTACGGATCATTTTGGAACAATCAATTGAGTGGAACTCAGCACTCTACATCAACTTCATTGACTACGAAAATGCAGCTGACAGCGTGGACAGGACAATACTATGGGGGCTCCTTCGACATTACGGCGTGCCATGAGAAAATAGTGAACATCATACGGAATTTTTATAATGGATTGAACTGAAAATCGTGCACGGAGGACAGCCGACAGTCTCAGTTGAGGTGGAAACCAGTGTGAGGCAGTTTCGCTTACTCCCACCCTTTCTCTTTCTCCTGGTGATCTACTGGATTATGAAGACTTCAGTATCTAGAACGGAGCACAGGATACAGTAGACAGCCAGGATGCGGCTGGGCGATCTAGACTTCACAGATGATCTGGCTTTTCTATCTCTCACGCGACAACAAATGCAAGAGAAAACTACCAGTGTAGCAGTAGCCTCAGGAGCAGCAGGTCTCAAAATACACAAGGGATAAAGCGAAATTCTCCGATGCAACACAACATACCAAAAACCAAATCACACTTGACGATTAAGCTTTGGAAAATGCAAAAACCTTTACATATCTGGGCAGCATAATTGATCAGTACTGTGGATCTGATGAAGATATGAAGGCGCGGATAGGCAAAGCAAGGGCAGCATTTCTACAATTCAATATTCGCAACTAAAAACAACTTTTCCTCAGCATACATCAAAGTCACAATTTTCAATACAAATGTCGAGACTATTCTACTGTTTGGGGCGGAAACTTAGAGAACTACGAAAGCTATCATCTAGACGATAGAAGTATTTATTAACATTTTTCTACGGATCCGTTAGCCAGACACCATCAGCAACAACGTAATGTGAGGGAGAACGAACCAGATTCCAAATGGAGGAAGAAGCCCAGGAAGTGGATAGGATACACAATGAGGAGGGCATCAAACTGCATTACAACATAAGCCTTCATTTGGGATTCTAAAGAACCACGGAAAGAAGAAATACCAAAGAGCACATTTCGCCGAGAAATTGAGATAGACAACAACAATTGGACTGAACTGGAAAGGGAAGCGCAGGACTGAGTAAGTTCGAGAATACTGGTCGGTGGCCTATGCTTCATTGTGGGTAACAGACGTAAGAAAATAAGTATCCATTGTTGATAAACTCTACATCAGATCGAAATATTCACCTAGTGTTGTTTCGGTACCGTAGATTTTTCACGTGAAAATAATTTTGTATAAATTATCAAAGTTTAATGATCTTTGTCATGATAAAAATCTTAAATTTAATTACATTCCATTTTCGTGCATCATCAGTCAATGAACAATAAACCTTGTCTATTGAAATTATTTATTTGATTACGTACTATCAAATTGATAATTGATTTTATTCAAAATGAAACAATAGTATTTTTTCTGATATATATATATATAGATCTTTATGTAATTTAGGTAAAGTAATGTTCGACTGTGAACAAACAATAACACAGTTCAAAGTTTGAAAATTATTCAACTTACATATAGATTGATAGATTTTTATTGTATAAATTCTTGAGTTAATTTGTATATTGTCTAGTTTGATTATTTCATTTAAATTAAGTACTAGGTAAGTTGATTCTGTTTATTTTAATTGTGAAATAATAATAATTAAAAAGAAGGCGATTAATGATGATGAATTCTATACGATAGGTCTATTACGGATAAGTGATTGTTGAATGAACTTGAGGTTGGATTACTAGAAATGACAGGATGACGAATAGTTTAAATAGAAAC